TATATTGTATATGTATATGTGTATGTGTATGTATGTATATATATATATATATATATATATATATGTATATATGTATATATGTATATATATGTATATGCTTATATGTCACTTAATTAATTTATTCTGCTATCGTCCAGGTAAGAGGAAAGGCAAACAGAATGACCATGACGAGGAACCGAGCGAGTCCGTGGCTGAATCTGAGGAATTGGGAACAGAAGCACCAGAACTTACTGTCAGATTGGAAGAGAATCCCAAGTGGAAAGAACTTACGGGCTTGCTGGATGAGATAGGTACGCTGTAGTTGGGTAGCGCTTTATATTTTCCATGTTTGTTTATTATTAAAAGTGTGTTTGTATCATTATATTTCTATTTATATGTGTGTATATGTATATATAGTATGTGTTTGGTCTTGAGGGTGATTGCTACCAACTACGTGTGGTATTTGGCAAGTGAGTATTGGAGCATGTGGACTCGGGATTCGGGTAGAACCTTGAGAATAAACCATAGGCGTGCTAGATGAGGCTAGTACTGTATAGGTATATCATATATATATACATATCCACTAACTATGTAGGCATATACAAGTATATACATGCACCATGTAGGTATATATATGTATGTACATATGTACCATTGAGGTATATATGTATATACATGCACTATGTATGTATATATATATATATGCATATGCATGTACTATATAGATATATTTATATATAAATGCATGTGTGTGCGCTATGTATTTACATGTATCATGTAGGTATATATATATGACGTAATATTAACGCTTCGAATGCAAGTAAACAACCTGGCCCAGATGCGTGTAATACAGCCCAGCGATGTGCGACATATACATTCATGACAAGCACATTAATTTAGTACATATCGGACATATCATATATATGACGGTCACAGAGGAGGGAAGAATATCTGAACAATTGCTACATGCACAATAGTTTAGTACATTAGTGACATGTCGTTAATATTGGTGTTTTAAAATGAGGATACCAATCGAGCTGTGACGATGCTACCAATAAGCGGAGCAACATGCGACCGTGGCATCTTTTTATTGCACATGACGTGCCCTTTTGAAGCCCTGTCACAGAGAACATAAGTAACTCGGGCTGTGAAGACGCACAATCTGCTCCACGCCCTTTGCTTCAGTACATGTATAGAATGTCGTATATCATCACTGTCAAAGGCGAGGAAAGTTTGTTTTTGTTTTTTTGCGGTGGATTTTTCTTAGTAATTTACATGTCAAAACATCGATTTGATACATATATGCCACGTCATTACATAACTGTCACAGAGGAGGAAAGTGTATGAAGCAAATTGCTACACGCACATTAGTTTATTGCATAAGTGATATGTCGTTTATTCGCCGGTGATGTTGCTATGAATACAGCCGATGTGCATCGAACTAATATCGATTACGACCTTTCGTTTATTTACGTCATGTGATGTAACATCACAGGCGAGGAAAGTACGGCAAGTGGAGAAACGCCTGCGAATGTGCTGATACTAGTCAGTGAACAACGCACCGCTTGGCAACTACGCGACTACCTGTCGACGGGGGGACGCCAAATGCTACACAAAGGCTTCCGTAAACATCTGGCGCTAAGGCAAAGGCTGAAGGAGGTGCGCACAAAGTTCACTACGGAGAGGGCGCTGCAGCGTGGAAAGCAGGTACCGTGGGTATGGGAAATGGTAACCAGTCAGAGTTAGTGATATATATATATATGTGTGTGTGTGTGTGTGTGTGTGTGTGTGTATAATATATATATATATGTGTGTGTGTGTGTGTGTGT